GGAGGAGGAGGAGGAGGAGGAGGAGGAGAAAAAGAAGAAGTTCCCTTTCCTTAAAATCTGTCTAACTTTTTTTTTTTTTTTTGTCATTTTGGTGATAGCAGTTCTAACTGAGGTGACCTGAAAACTCACTGTAGTTTTCATTTGCATCCCCCTATGTCTAATGATATTCAGTAATTCTTCATGTATTTTTTTACTATTTATGCTTCATTGTTTGAAAAACATTCAAGTTCTTTATGTATTTCAATTGGATTTATTTTATTTGTTAAATTTTGGGATTCTTTATATATTCTGGTTATTAATTTTGGTCAAATGAATTATTTTCAAATTTTTCTTCCATTCTATTATTTCTTTCCTTTGCTGTTCAAGTTTTATAGTTTAACCTAATTCCTCTTTTTCTATTTTTTGCTTTGTACTAAAAATATTTGTCTGTGCCATAGTCTCAAAATTTTGCCTTGTTTTTTTCTATTAGTTTCAGTTTCAAGTCTTATTTTATTTTTATGTTTTAGGGAGTAAAAAAGAAATAGAAATGATATAGAATTTCATTAAGAAAAATGATAGGAATGCAGCAATGGCCATTATATTGCTTATTGTTGCCTTCAAATTAGTTGGTCAGATTACCAGATAGAAGCACACAAAGTTGGTCAAAATTATAAAAAATTATAAGGAGGGAAAAAATCAATTCTTCCTTTCAATAGACCAGCAGAAATCAACATTGCAATTACCCAAGGTAAATATATATATATATATATATATATATATATATATATATATCCTAGTTTTTACCTATTGTCACATGAATGCATATACTCCCTTCTTCCTTTTTTTCGTTCTCTCATCCTAGTTGTTCCTTGCCTTTAAATAGCATCATTGTAGGTCTTCTATTTATTGCAAGGTCCTTTTTCTATTAGGTCAGAGACAGGCATCTGGTCTGGGCCTTCTGCCTATGGACAGCCTATTTTCTGAGCTGCTGTGGTTTGCATGAGAAAGGTCCCCTCACAGTTCCTGTGTCCAGAGGCGGAGACTGTGCAAGATGATTGGATCATGGAAGCACTAAACTCATCAACAGATAAATGCACTGATGAGCTTACAACCAAATGCACTATTAGGGAGGAGGGTTGTCCTGGTCAGAATAAGTACGTCACTGGTGGCGGAATGCAAACTAAAAAGTGGTTGTCATGTCTGCAGGTCCTTCCTTCCGCTTTCCACTTTCCTCTCACTCTGCTTTATGGCTGGCGTGGATAAGCAGCTTTCTTTTGTCCTGCCTTCTGTCATGACCATTCTACCTTGGAGAGAGCTGACTGTGAAGTAAAACACCTAGCGAGCCAAAATAAATCTTTTCTCCTTTAACTTTTGTGTGCCAGGTATCTTTCCTAAGAATGGAAAACTGACTGAGATATCAACGTATTTATCAAAGTAATTTTCTTTGTATAAGATATACCTTTGATACCTTTGTCAGAATTAGTTGTCTGTAGATGCACAGGTGTATTTCCGAGATCTCTATCTTCTGGATCCTTGGTCCATATGTTTAGTGCTGTGTCTTTACCATACTGCTTTGGTTACTGCAGCTCTATGGTATACTCTGAAATCAGGTATTGTGAGTTTGTCTTAGTTGTAAATCATGAATTCATATGAAAAGAAGGCACAAAGTATTAGCCAATTAGTGGTAAAACAAATGCATTTTGCTATGTAGCATGTTAATGGCAATTAAGTGCTAACTTATTTTGAGGTCCATGGGAAAGTTAAAATCCTATTTATAACATCAGAAATAGAAATATTCTGTCATTCCTTCTTTCTTGCTTCATCTCGTCTCTCTTCATTGCTCAGGAAGACATAGCTTTTTTTTCCTGATAATCCAAGTAATTAGTAAAACATTTTAAAAGGATTTTGTGGCTGTCACTGCTACTGTCTTAATTTATATTATACACATGAAAGCTATTTCTATTATAAGTATTGCCTTAAAAATCTTTAATTGTGGGCTGGAAGTCAGAGAACTATTTTTAAAGAACAGATTAAGTTAAACAATAATAACGTCAAAATTGAAGCATCACATTCTATCTGGGTGTTAAACTCATAGCTTGCATCAAGTAGAATTTATTTTATAGTAGCTTTTCATTATCATTTCAACTCTGATGCAATACATTGAACTTGTATCAATAATTAATGTATCTTAGTTTTTACCTATTGTGACATGACTAGAATAGCCTCAAGGTTGTTGTTAAATCCACTACCATGGCTTTGACTCTCTTTATTCACTCAAATTGAAAAGTTAGTGTTTAAAGGAAATTATTAACAGAGCTTTTTGCATGCATTCCTATTTTTCATATCAAAAGAACTATTCTGAGGTGAAAGATTGATTTACAGTCATTAATAGGACAAAACACAAATTTCCCTAGAATATTCTGCATGTTAATTCAGGCTGTCCATATGCAGGAATAGTCATAGAAAGGACTTCGTCTTTTTCCTTAAATGTGCTTCTGTTGTTATTGTTATCTTGTCGAGATGTTCATCAACTTCAGAACTTAATCAATTTATAAAGGCTTGGCATGAAAGTGGGACTCTTCTTTCCCTTTGATCTTAAGTGGTGGCTGAAGCAATAAAATACTAAATCTCCTTATCATTTAGCCAGCCCAGCCCCTGGGAACTTACCTTAGGATGCTAGTTTTATGGAATATTATGAATATTAGGTATAAGCCATAGTCATCTTTGTCCACATTTAACCACCATGCCCATGATCATGTATTCCCACAACAACTTGTGATGTATCGTTTCCACCTTTTATTGTCAGAGCAGAAAAACTTAACAGATATTAAGAAGAGCAAGCACACATTCATGCCAAAAATGATTTCATTTTGGGGAGAAAATATTCCTAATCAAGACTTTAGAGCTAATACAGTAAGCTTTTTAATTAGCAGAACATCATTTCTGTTTTTCTCATTCTCCTAGCTTCCAATGCATCCCTATCCATCCAGATTTCAATTTTAAATGTCCTTTGTCCACTCCCAGCATGCTCTGACTTCCACCATTTATATCAGTTCTACTAACATTTCTCCACCATACACATGTACTTAAGATTCTTTTCTCCCTTTCTTGCAAAATTTCCTTATCCTGGTTTTTCTTTGGATCACATTCTATGCTACTTGAGAAGAATCAACACCTACTAATATGTAAATATATACAAATAAAATCAATTACCCACTCACAAAGCAACAAATAGGCTTTTAAAACTGTATTTTTCCAAGTGGGTATTAGGAATGTTTGGAATTTTTAGTTGAATTTGCAGAAAAACAGTTTTTTTGGACAGTAGGTTTTATCTTAATAGTCTTGAATTCCTGTAAGTGGTGGATAAAGCAATAACATATGTACAGCACTAAGAGCTGATGGCTTCACTGTCATACAAACAAGTGACCAAAATGCTTTGTTTCTCTGGTCTCATTGCTCTCTCTTACTCCAAGTAGGTTACAACATAGTATGTAGACAAGCTAGAGAGGCCAAGATTAAGTGACAGCAACACTCTTGTTCAGTGCAAGAGGCTTCTTGGAAACAAAATTGGAAAAGCAGCTCATGAAAGGTCATGTTGGATCAGCTCAATGGACAGATGACACAGAACAGTCTCAGTGTGCCCTGGTGTGTTCTTCCTGTACCACAGGCAGAGACACAGATCTGATTTAGGCTGTCCTCACAGGTAGCAAGTGCTGAGGAGTTATTGTTTTGATAAAAAGAGCCCTGTAGGTTGTTTTTGATCTGCATATTAGCAAAGAATATAAAGACAGCTAGGACACACTTCTTTGAAACAGCAAGGAAGACTTTCCCTTGAACAATGTGCAAGATATATCTCTGTTGGAAGATTGCACATGCACACACACACACACACACACACACACACACACATCCCTTTTCGCCCCAAATCTGTAGTTTGCTTTCTTTTATTCATTAGTGTACACGAATATGTGAAAACACACCACACTAAGACACGCAAGTCTGATCGAGTGATAATCTCTTATAATGTGCTTCTATTTAAAGCAACAAACAGATGGAGGGTTTATGAGCAAGGCTGGGAAGAGTAAAAGCAAATGATTGCAATAGTTGTACTTTTAATAGGATTCCCCCACAACCTAAAACATTATTCCCTGAAGAACAAATTGTTCTATAAAATTATGCTACTTGAGAGGCAGATAGTTTCCTTGACATGGCTGAGGCTCTACAGAGAGAACTCCAGAGTAGTCATATTTTGCAAGGGGTCTCACTACTCAGATCAGCATCCCCGGTGAGGGGAGATGGGACATTAGATACCCTAAGCCTCAAAGGATAAACTCACTGGACTAGGCTAAAAGGAAGAAAGAACCAGGTATAAAGGGGGTCTGAGCTATGTCTGTACTTAAAATTTATTACCTTCTAATTTTCTAATGTGAAAAATAAGATTTAGGATATCCCTACAGATTTAAGATAAACATACAGGAAGGCTTTCTCCCCTGCCAATTCGGACCGAAGTATAGCTCTAATACAGCAGATCTTGCTTAACAAACAGTGGAGCTGTAAACAACCCAACGCTGATTGATTATCATTATCCCTGCTTGCGAGAAACAAGTTGCTATAATTCTATCAATAAGATGAATATACCACAGTGATGGCCTTTACGTAAATTATAATTAAAGCTAATCTTAATTAAAGTTATTATACTATTCTGCAAGAAAATAAACAAGCTTAAGAGAAGGAAACAACATGGTCAATAACTCACTCCAAAAATATTTTTTTTTCCTTCCAAAGCTCACACTGAGGGAGACATTCCTGCGTATGATACAAATGGTTCTGACATTAAGAAAAGTAAACAAGTAAGAAAAATAAAGATGGAAAAATTCTGCGGTCAGTTCACAAGTGCTTTTTTATTGTTTGAGGCAGGGTTAAAGCCTTTTATAAAGACAAGGATATATGTGCTGCTAGATTGGATATGACAACGGACTAGTCTAGCTGCCCTCACAGAAAGCTCTGCTGCCCACAATATGCCATGGACCAAAAATGTGTCAATACTCCTAAACAAAGAACCAGGGTGGGACTGGGAGCAGCTGACTCAACGCATTATCTCCACGTTGTTCTGTGGATCAAACACAGAAACGGTACTCAACTCCTGTTACTAGTAGGTTGGAGAGATGTAAGCAAATATTCCATAATCTCTAATTATTAATGGTCCCAAGGATTTTAATGTTAACTAGTCTGAACAGCTGATTAGTAGAGGTTGTATAATCTACAAGCGGGGCTGCTGCCAACCTCAATACATGTCATTCCAGGACTGTGTTGACTCAGTAGGCCAGAGGCTATGTAAACGGACTAGAGCTGAGAAAGAGGGTTCTTCTCAGGCAGCTCAGGGATTCTGTGTCCCTGAAGACTTTTGCCATAGCAACTCTCTTGTCACTTGGTAGCCCGTGACTTGGAGAGCTTCTCTTCCAGGCTTTGGGGCTCCAGTACTGGGGTACCCAGGACAAGGAGCATCTGGCCCAAATATAAGAAGCAAAAATAAATGCTATTGTGTCAAACAGCAACCAGTTTTCCCAGTATCTTGTGGAGTCCTTTAACCTGGGCACCTAAGTTCAATAAATGGTAGTCATCCAACTAGCATGATGGGGTTTATTTCCCTCCTGACATTGACACTAGAATACAGCCTAAGATACACAGCAACACACCAATGTCTCCTAAGCTGTGGCTCTAATTTCTGAGAGTTTCTGAGAAAAAAAACATGAAATTCAAAAGTTTTGTGCCTTCTATAAAAACCATGTGGTCTGGTGGGTATTTTCTATCATCTTCATTTTGTTTTCCAACCTCCTGACCCATTGCTCTGTCTTTCATCACCTCACTACTTTTAAATAGCACCCGAAGGAGTAAACCAGCCCCCAGCACAAATATGGCCACAGGCATAGCTGGAAGTATGCATGGTTAAAAATAAATAAGAGTCCCTGGTGCAACCAAACTCTCACGCTGGGCAAGATGCCTCTTGCTGTATTGTGTTTAAGGCAAGAAGCAGATCTGGAAATAAATGAAATAAGATAAAGCCCTTGTTTTTACAGTCAGGGATTTAGGGAAAACAATTGAATCAAATATAGCAGCATGAAGCTGGCCATAACTGTATGACCTGGCTGAGAGGTTGTCCTTGCTAGTCTCTGAAAACTGCACATGGCAAAATCATCTGTGTTAAAGATGCTGTAAATGCACTGGAGAGGGAAGATGGGCAGGCATAGGAGCTGGGCATATGCAGAATACATGTGTCTTTCCCCTAAACTAAGACTATTCCACTAAAAAGAAACCACAGCAGAATACCATCAGAGGGATCTCGACTTAGCAGGCAAGCAGAAGACGGTTCTCTCTCCCTAGACTGCGGCTAGCGAGCCTGCTCAGGGAGGCCCCAGGTGCGACCTTTGCTCCCCTGTGAGCAGTGAGGGGACCAGGCAATTTATCATGGTGTTCATGCTGTCAGCCCTGGTGCTTCACTGCTGCTGTCTGTCACCCTGGTAGATGAGACCTGCTTAAGGGCAATCATGTCAATCTCTCTGTGACCACTCAGTGTAAGGCAAAAGGATGATCTTGACGAGCCTGGCCAAGTCAGCACGAGGCACCAAGCAAGGAAGCCGCAGCCCTCCCCCAGAGATGCGAGGCAGGTCGTGGCTTCTTTCTTTGGCTTTTTATTTTTGCTTCCCTTTTCCTTTTATTTTCACAAAAACAGGTAAAGGCACATAGAGTTTGTCTTCAGAGCTGATCATCTCGGATGAACCTGTTGCCCTCAGAGTTTTTCCCGTAGTAAACATAGCGACACTTGCCCAGGACACCTGTAAGCAAAAGGAAACACATCATTACAGGCAGCAGAATTAGGATTGTCAGGAAGCACAGGTGTTTCGAAGCAGGTGTCTGATACAGTGACATCCAACCCCAGAGGTGGCAGGAAATACATTAGACCCCAAGAAGGAAAGGCCACCTCTTTGTCCTCAGAGTAGATATTCAAAGAAAACATCACTACCAAGCACAGGTTCTTAGAGAACACATGTTTTCTGCGTGATTTCCACACGTAAGGGACTATTCTTCTCCCAAACACAGCACAGCCTTTCCTTACACCTAGTTTTCTTCCTAGAATTCTTTCAAATGAAAAACCAAAAGCTTATAGATGGACGCAGCCCAGGCAAAAGCTGGAGGACAATCTTCCCATCACCAGTACAATGTCCTTTCTTAAAGCACCTACGAGATGATTCAGGAACTGCAGTGGCTTGGGTGGCATACCACACAGAAGCCACGGGGTCCCTGACAGTGTCTTCTTCCACTTACTCTGAACCTTCACCTCAGGTTACAATATATTTAACTTTCACTTTCAGCTTTACCTTATGTAATTCATGCCTCAGGACAAAGCCTTACTCTCAGAATTCATGGAGATTATACGAGACTTATCTATGAAAAACATAGCTAGAATAAGGTTAAACGTTTTGGGGAGGTGAGTACTGGGGATTGAGCACTGGACCTTTACACTGACTGATATCTTTAGCTGATTGATGATTGATTGGCTGTCATTTTAGGACAGTGTCTTTCTAAGTTGCCCAGCCCAACCTTGAATTTGGGGTCCTCCTGCCTCAGCCTTATAAGTAGCTAGAACTGCAGGTATGTGCTACTTGGCTTGGTGAAAATTTTCTAATGAATTTATTATCAATTATTACTACTCATAAGAAATTTGCTGTCAGGACTGGGGAAACAGCTCAGCGGTCTAAGTGCCTGCCTGGCAAGTGCAAGGATCCAAGTTTGATCCCCACTACCACATGCTGTGTTGGCCCCACCCTGGGTCCAACAAACCAGCCACTGAAACTGGGTGTGGTGGTGTATGCCTGTAATCCCAAGGTTGGGGAGGCTGAAACAGGAATATCACTACAAGTCTGAGCTGTGTAGTGAGACTCTGTACCAAATACACAAAATTTATATCTCTATCTATCTATTTGTATCACCTATCACCTGCCCTAGTTATTATAAAAGCCTTATGGGATTATTTAGGGAAAAATCAGTTTCTCTAAGAAAATCCTTATAATTTTATTTTGCCTTTTATCATCATTTTTTCCCCTACTTTCATGACTAAAAATTCAATTTGGCACAGTTGTCTTAGTACTAATAGGACTTGAGTCTCTGAAGGATACCCAGTTAGAGGGGGAAAATAAAACATTGAAACATTAATGTATGAGCCATTAATCTGCCTATGAAAATAACTACCCATATTCATGATTATTATTATTATTTTTTTTTTCTCATCAGTGTGAGAGTGTGAAATCAACGAGCACGCACCCTTCTTGCTTAATTTGGGATCAATTAGCACTTGCAATTTGCCATGCTCTTCACATCAGAATTTTTAACTGGTAAATATTTCTGGGAGTGTAACAGAGCTGTTTCTTCACTACAGAACCTCCAACTTGGCTTTTAGAGAAGAATTAGTATGACGCTTCGACACTTCTAAGAGCAGGACAGATGTGCCCTAGTTTGGCCAGATTGGGACACAGGTGGAAACTGCTAGGATCGCAGGCTCCCTTGGAGCTGGATGAGGGATCAGGTAGCCTTGCTCCACGGCTCCTTCACGTCACTTCCTGAGCCCCTTCTTTCCTCTTCCGGCTTGGCTGTGCTTTGGCCTTGCTCCTCAATGCCCAGCTTCTGGTTTTCAGCATTGCTCTGGTGCTGGATGTACTGTGCTTGGATGAAACCTCACCGAGACCCTTTCTGGGGGCTAAGTTACTCTTTTGTTGCTGGCACTGAGCCACAGCCTTTCATGATGCTGTTAAGAAGTGTCCAGCGCTGCCCTAGCATTGTCACCAGCACCAAGATGCTGGGCCAGTGAACTTTGTCCAAGGAATGGCAAGGCCTGCACACCTGGGCAGAAGTAGCACCCTGCTGGTTGAGAAACTCCTCAGGGGAATGCCGTAGGCACCAGATGCAAATATATCCTCAAGATCTGGGAAGACAAGGCCAAAGGGCATTAGTCTCTTTCCAGGGCAAAAGGGCAGAATGGATCTTTTTTTTTTTTTTTTTTCCATAATTTTATGGAGAAACAAATAGTAATGAGACAGTTTCAAATCAAATTGGTAGGACAGTTTCAATAATTAACACAATGCATACATTCTTACTAGTGGTCAATTGCTGTACAAGATGTGGACATGATATCCTATTTACAAACACCATAAGAACAAATCCCTCTATTCATTAAGAGAATGTAACTATATAACTATCCTAACCACTTTGAATACACAGATACAAAATGGACATTCATCTGTATCCCCTTTTTTTGTTAAGTTCCGTTATTTGAATATTATAGGTGTGTAAACTCAGCAAAATATTCTATTTTTTTTCTTTTCAAAGTTTTATTGATAAACATATAGCAATGAGACAGTTTCACATCAAATCGAAAGTACAGTTTCAACAAATAATACACTGCATATATTCTTCTTAGTGGTTAAGAATGGATCTTTATACAAAGAAATGGATAGGGCTGTCGGCTGTCTTGAGCAAAGGGAATGCGCTTTCTTTTCCCTACCTTTCCCCACTGGGAACTTCTCCCCTCACCTCACCTGCAGGCAGTCAGATGGAAGCCAGCCTCCCAAAACACGGAGCTGGACCATTCTGAGCCACATTCCCAGATCTGCTTTGTGCGTGGCAGGGATAAAAGTCCTTCCTAAGCACTTCCCTGTTTCTTGGGCCTGGAAACAGGAATGTTTACAGTCATCCTGGTGAGAGAGGGCGGCTGGATGAACCCAGGAAGCCACAGCCAGGTGCCAGTGCTTGGAAAAGGAGACAAGGACAGGCGGTACTAATACTGGCAATGATCTTGTGACGGGAAAACAGATACCGCACTCAGTGCCAGGTTTAAATAAATATCAAGTGCATTAATGACAAAAAGGCAGACTTCAAACAAAGGGGCTGTATGGTGGGAAGTTGAGTTCCTCTCTGCGCTGGCAATAACCTGATCGGAAAAGACACTGTCAGGACTCGAGACAGGCCCAGGACTGTGTGCAGTGACAGAAAACAGAGATCCTGACAGAGATACCAGCGCCATATTATGCCAGGGAAACTACAGCGCTGTCTGCTGCTCTAACGCAAGCTGACATCACGTCTTACCACTCGGGGTCTTCTCCGCCTGCCCCTGCAGAGCGCTTCTCCCCAGACGTCACTAGGAAACTGCAGCTGTGAAGTTCCTGGCAGCCCTGGACCCGGGGAGCAGTGGGGTTACGGGGCCTAAGGATAACCTCAGTCACTCTGAATTTCGGCTTTGCAGGAGGCGCCTGCTCCTCCCCACTGCTACCTTTGCTGGTGGAGGTGATCAGAGGGCCAGTGTGTGAGGAGCTGTCACCTTGAATAAAATCCTTCCAGGGAAGGCGCTTAGTCGTGGGCGGCTCCAAGGAGATGCAGGCCAGCCTGGCAGCCGAAAATGAAACCCAGCTGTTGGTGCTGGACTGGAGAGAAAGGTTCTGTGGCTAGTGGCAGTGCCATTCGACTGAAATCTCTGCACTGGCGCTGTCTATGATGGCATACATTAAACAATCATTGGTCACCTCTTTGAGTTCCGTGCTTGAGCTCACGTGGGGAAGGTGATTACGTCTCACCTTTGAAAATACAACATCTGTGCTCAAAAATAAGTAAGAAAATAATAGGAACAAGGGAGGGAACAAAAACAAACAAGCAGTAAATACAAACAACCCAGATCAGTCCTGCATAAGGCCACAGGTCTTTTACTCATGGTGAAGGTTATCTGGGAAATAATAGGCTCTGCTCCTAAATTAAGAAAGGGGGCAACCCAGGTTGCTCTCTCCTGGCTCTCCCGCCGTTCTTTCCTCTGCATAACGGCAACAGCTGGACGCTGAGAAAAATGACAGAGGGACAGTTTGCCTGCATGGAGTCCTTTCACTAGGAGGTCCTTAGAGGGGTGAATTTGGGAACCTACCGGTTGTGACTCAGAAGGCTTTGGCTTGCAAGCACATCTGCAACGCATTCTCTTGTTTGTATCTCCACAAACTAACATCTCAGAGCTGGAGGGCGAACAACACATTTAATGGCATATGTAGTGTTTTTAATTAAAATATCTGGCTTTGGTCATAATAAGTGAATCAGGCTTGCCATGCATCAGGCCAGCATGCAGATGTCTGTGCAGGAGTTTCTTTTCAGGGTCCCTGAAAAATGACAGCACACCGTCCCCCCGGGGAATCCTCTCCTACCAAATGAGACTCCTAATTTTTCTTAAGTAGCCAGCTTTCCCATCACCATAAGCTCTTAAAGCTATAATTATGAAAAAAATGCATTGGGGAGAATCTGTTTTAAAGAGGCTCTTTATCTTTTCAATGTCTCCCCCCTCAGGAATGGGTGTTCTAATTATGCAGGTTAAGTTATGACCCTGGTGCTGCCTCCGGGGGGTGGGACTCTGCCTCTTCTCTCGGATGTGGTGCTGTGATGTCTGTGATCCTTTTAGAGACTGCACTGGAGGGGCTGGGGGGATCCTGAGTGCTCCAGGAAGGGGGCTCCTGCAGAGCACTGCATCTGAGTCCAGCTGGACCTGAAGGACAGCCTTACCTATGCTCATCGCCATCCAGTAGGGGAGGTCCAGGAAGATCTGTATTTAAATCTTGCCCTGACTTTAATGGCCATTTGACCAGGGCCATACCTTATTTACCCTCACTGGGCTGGTTTCCCTTTGTAAAATGGGGTGACAAAGACAATCTGTAAACTCTATTTTAGTTCTGAAATAGGAAATTTAGTATTTTTGGGTGTTTTTCTTAGGAAGCTAAGGACATACTTCTAATATTGCTGTATAGAGAAGACA